GCTATGGGCGCCGAGCCAATTTTTCTATTTTTAGTAGAGATGTGAGTCTTGCTCTTGCTTAGGATGGTCTAGAACTCCTAAGCTCAAGGGATCCTCCCACCTTGGCCTCCTAGAGTGCTAGGATTATAGGCGTGAACTGCTGTGCCAGGCCTTCATTTAACTGAAAGAAAAAAAATCATCAATAGCTATATAGTCATCTACATTTAACTAAATATAAATTTAGCCTAAAGCATTTCAAATTATGTTCAAAAACTCTTTGGACCAAATTGTCCTCACTTTTTTTCATTTTTTTTTTCCCTTTCTAGTAGTTTTTGGTGTTGTGCCTAGGCTGGACTCAGATTCCTGAGCCCGTTGCGATCCTCCTGCTTCAGCTTCCTGAGTAGGTGGGACTACCAAGGTGAGCCACAATGCCTGGCTGGAGAGTTGGGTTTGTTCTGGTGGTGGTAGTTTTTTTTAATCTTGCAAGCCAGACATTTTCTCGGGAGCCATATGCAAAGATTTTATATTTAAATCATGTACAAAACACAGTACCTATGGTAAACAGCACTATATGTGCATTATTTGGTTTCTAAATTTTAACTGAAGGAGACAACTAATTTCAGGAGACTGTCAGCAGACTGACCTCAGGGTTGCTAGTATTGTCTGTAATTATGTTGCAAAAATATCATCAGAGATAGGCTGGTGCCCGGGAGGCATGACTTTAAATGTCCACTAGAAAATATTGTCTATTTCGGTAAACAACATTTCGCAGTAACGTCAGGTGTCTCATGAACAAAACAGAGGCAACAGGCACCATATTTCTGGTCATGTTAGCAATGGTTTGTGTTCTGTATAGAGGAGCACCCAGGGCAGCCATTTTTTCTGGCTCTAGGCAAGAAAGACAGGCACTGGGCTGACAGACCTGTGTGTGAACATACGATGGCAAGACATTTAACTTCTATCTTTTTCCCCTCTAAAGAGACTGCTGTGAGGTATGACACCATTTACCCAGGGCAACAGAGTAAGATTCTGTCTCAAAAAGAAATAAATAAAATGGTGATAATATCTATCTCATAGTTATTAGAGATAATATTGAAGTTGTAAATGAGACTATCATGATGATGTGAAAGTATACTATGTATCTAATAGTGTGATATACTGTATAGTAAAACACCATATAAATAATAAGCAATTATCCTCTTTCTGTTAACCCTTCATAGCCTTCCTGACATAACACTTCTTTTAAGAGTTAGTACTAGATATGTAAGGTCTTATCTACATGGGTTTGACTACAGAAACTAATATTCTCTAAATAATGAAAAAAAAAGAGTTAGTACTAGAGCACAGACCATAGATTTCTGAGATTGACAGTGTTCAGCACTCAGTATATGCCATTTACTTTCGTGATGTATCCTGTGGGGTACGTGTCCTGGGTGGGCAAGTGGTTCCCAGCATAGGCTTTGGAGTCAGACTTGGGTGGGTCTGTGCTCTGACCCTGCTCTTCTACACCTGCCTTCTTAAAAAGAATTACTTTGACATAAGTCTGTGTGTCTCAGACGGTCTGTGCTATCACACTCTGCACTCCAAACTCCAGTCACCAGGGAATTTTTGTAGTTCCCCAAAGCATGAGGCTCACTTCCTGGCTCTGCTCATTGTTCCCTCTGCAGGATAGCTTTTCCCCTCCCACTTTCTGCTAGGCTATCTCCTATTCTTCTCAGCTTCTCCCAAGATTTCTTTGATCCATTAGACTTGGTTAGGAGCTCTTCACATCTGCCTGTTCCCTCAGTCACCCTTGATTTACCCCTGTGGTCAGTGTACTGATGTTGCCTAGTTGTTGGTGTTCCCATCTTCCCCGCTTTAGTATTGGTTAGGACTTGGGGGTCTAGTATGTACTGGGTATAGAGCTTACTTGCTCTGTCATAATGATCCTATAAAATAGGTATTAGAATAGAACAAGAACTGAAGCTCAGAGAGGGTAAATGATTTGCCCAAGGTCAAATACAAGCAGAAGAGCTTGGGATTGAACCCAGGCCTGATACCAAACCCTCTGCAGTCATTTGTAAATTTCTAAGGACTTCTGGGGTACAGGGTAGAACATGGCGAAGACACATAGTAACAACTCCCCATGTACTAGCTATTATTATTCTGATACAATCAGATTGTAAGCCTCTGCAGGGAAGGAACTTTGTAGGAATCCCCCAGAACAATACTCCAACTGAGGGTGAGTTAATGAGACCAGAGTATAATGTTGAGAGCAAGGACTCTACATCTGGCTTCTGGAATATGTCCAGATCATCACTGATTATTTCTCAGTAAATGTCTCACGTGTATGTTGTGTGTGTTTGTGTTTTGAGACAGGGTCTTACTTTCTCACCCAGACTAGAGTGCAGTAGTGTTATAATAGCTCACTGTAACCTCTAACTCCTGGGGTCTTGCTTCAACCTCCCAAGTAGCTGAGACTACAGGCATGTGCCACCATGCCTGGCTAATTTTCTATCTTTTGTAGAGATAGGGGTCTTGCTATTGCTCAAGTAATCCTCCTGCCGTGGCCTCCCAAAGTGCTAGGATTGCAGGTATGAGCCATTGTACCCAGCCCTGATGTGTGTTTTCTATTATACAGTCTCTGTATTTAAGAGTACATAATTTCTTGTCACACATTGGCCCCTTTCTGCTTCTGAGGAAAGGGTGGGACTACAGAGTGCCTTGAGAAGACAGTTGAAGCCGCTTTTTGATGAGACACACAGGAACCACCAACCATCTAAATAAACGTCCTCTTTATTTTACCAAATATAATTTATCAGTTAAGTTGACATTTGTCAATTCAGTTATAGTAACTATAAATAATTCTTTTAAGACACAGTTCTGTAACTTTTTAAGGATACAAGAGTAAACCAATATTGCTCCTTACAGCCAGGCCAAAAATACATGCAGTTGGTGCAATCAGAGGAAAAGAAATCTTCCATGAAAGTCAACTTCATTTTCTTTCCCTCTCACCCCACAGTCCTCCTCTGCTCACACACTCAGGGCCTGGGGCATGCCTATCTTTCTGCTTTTTAGGCAAAGAAAGATGAGTCCAGAATCTTCCAGGACTGCCTGGCTGAACTCTAAAGATGAGGAAGGGGGTGAGCGACCAGGGCAGGGGTGGCTGGAGATCGCAGGGGGATAGCCTCAGGGACCAGAGGAGTTGGTTTTGGTGCCTGTACAAGAAGAGTCTGTGCAAGTATGTTTTGAGGTGGAGAAAAAGATGAAAGAAGTCCAGAGGGAAGAGCGAAAACAAGCCCAGGCTGGTGTTAATGAGCTTTGCAGGACACAGCTCCATCTAGATAACCTCTACAATTTCTTTCATTTCTAAGGTTCTATGATTCCAGAAGGTGGCCTGGCTGGAGGAGGAGGGGGAGAAAAGACAGTCTCTGGAGGTCTAGGGCAAGTTCCTGGGATAAGGCATGGTGCTGGTAGAAATAGGGCCCTTGCCTGAGCCTTCCCTTGGAGGTGAGCTACAGAGGGGAGGGTTAATGGGGAGGCTTCTGAGAGGCTAGAAAAAGCCTACAGCCAAATGCCCAGATTTGTATGTGTGAGTGTGGACAGATTCTGAGCTGTTCAGAGCAAAGTATGGGGACAATGCAGAGGCTCCAGTTTTTCTCCCAATTTTGTGCCAGGCAGAGAAAAGTAAAAGCAACCAGTTGGATGTCCAGCTTGCTAGTTCTAAATCCTCTTTTGGGTGCTTGGTGAGGAGAGCTGGAGGGAAGGAAGGTGAGGAAGGATACTTTAGGGACATGAAAGCTGGCTGGGTGATAAGGCTGGTGGCTCTAGCTGTGGTCAGCGTGGCCGAGTTGGGATTCAGGCAGGAGAAAGAGGCAGAACCTGGCCTGGTGAAGCAGATGAGAATACTTGACAATGAGGAAACTTTGCCAGATTGAAAAGGGCACATGGCCTCTATAACCAGGGGAATGAGGTACAGTTAGAGCTGTGTTTCCTTTACCATTGGCTGGTGCAGTACCTAACACATAGTAGGCACTCAATAAATACTGCTGAAAGAATATTTCAGATCCCACTGTAGAAGAGTTCATCTTGGGCAGGGTGTGTATTTGTTGAATGAGTGAATGCATAAATGATGAGTGTAGGCATTAGCCAAGAGAGGAAAACTAACCTTCATGACATGATAGAATGACTGATTTTAGGAAGTGACAGAGTCCAAAGTGACCACATGATTATGTCTTCAGGAGAAACAGCAGCAATGAAACACCCCTGGTTGCCCTCAACCTCCAAATCACTCTTTACATAACCATGATCTGTCCCTAATCTCAGAACCCAACCTGGTGAACTTTGGGGAAGGTAATGCTTAGAGACAATCAGAGATGAGGGTTGAAGAGAGACAAAGAATCAGTCCTTGGGGTCCAGGGGGATTGGGTTTTGAGAACCCTAAGGGTAGACATGGGTCAGCAAGGAGACAAAGCTACTGTTCATTTCTTCCTGGAGGTGATTACCAATCGAACATGATCAGAGGGAGGGATTGGTGATATTGACCGGGTAATCGGGTAAGACGCATGTACACAAAATGGTCACCTTACTCCTTCTGAGAGCGGGAAGGCCTATGTCCAGAGGGCAGAGAATAGGGCTGGGATTATAGGCGGGGGCTGGAGCAGCTGTCTTCTGCCCAGGGCTTTGACGTGGTCAATGTCTACAAAAGTATGTGTGTGTTTGGGAGTGTTATTTATTCCTGTGTTCAATCAAGATAAGGAAAAACTAAAAGAAAACCAAAAAAACCCAGAACCCACACACAAAGAGCTTCTCTTTAGGACCAAGACTGAGGTTGCTAAAGCCAAACCAAATGTCCCCAGATCCTGGACATAAGCCCCCTGCCCTAATCCACCTCACCTGGAGGCACCCACCATGAAATTGCACTTGGTGATTGTCTCAAAATCTTCTTGTACTGCTCCTCTCAGTCCGTCTGTCCTTCCTGAATTATCTGCTATATAAACTTGGCTCAATGTATAAAATTCCCATTGAAAATAATGAGAATTTGGTATCAAAGTGAAGTCCTAGAAAGAGGTGGGAGTGTGGGGTGGGGTAGGGACAGGGGAATGAAAGAAAAATTTCAAATAGAAAGTGCAGAGGGATGGGGAGAAGGATGAGTGACCAAGCTAGTCCCCGACATCCGTGTCTCGGTCCCCGATGAGCCAGAGGATGTGGAAGCTGAGTGCTAGGAGCCCAGTGCCAAGCAGGTCCCCCAGAGCAGTCAAGTATGGGATGGAGAAGTTGTCCGGATCTAAGCCCCGGCCCCACATCCAGTGCACCATCCAGTCTGCGATGTACAGGAGAATCAGCACCTGGAGAGACAGAGGGCACAGCCTGCAGCCTTCCCCTTTCTCCAGGGGGAGCCAGAGGCCATATGATCAGATCTATTCCTGTTTAGTGCAGTACAAGGCGTGGCTAACTAACCAGTCATTATTTTTTATCTTCATCTTTCCATGCCAGCAACCTTTCTATGTTCTTCCACCCCCCAATTAGGAGGCATGAGAGCTCTTTAGAGAGCAAGATGCTGTTACTACCTGGGGGGCACCCACATTAGCATTATATAGGGGGGCCATAAATTCATGTGCAATTTAAAATTGTACACCATTTTAAATCTTACACAAACTTTATGGCCACCCTGTATTCTGCTCCCAAATTTACCATTTACCAAGCAAGGGTCTTCCTAATTTAAATCCTATGTCTTTTTTTTTTTTTTTTTGCATTTTTTTGGCTAGGGCTTGAACTCACCACCTCTGGTGTATGGGGCTGGCGCCCTACTCCTTGAGCCACAGGCAC